CAGCTCAGTTGAAATTTACTTATTAAATGAGTACATTTATAGTAAAAACTTTTTTTTTCAGACTATCTGAAGACTCGGTCTCTGTTTTAGTAGTCAGATGTCTTACAGAAGCTTTACCAGAAAACAGGTAACTTCTCATTGTCTCTTAAGCCTTACCTCTTAATGAAAAACTTAAATTCCTTGGTTAATAATGAAATTTCTTTTCCAACTTGCCAGATTGAGTCGGTTACTTCACAAACACAGATTTGCTGAAGCTGAGAGCTTTGCTATTCAGTTTGGACTGGATGTTGAGGTAATCATTCATGTATTAATATTCATTTGTTCATTGAACAGGCATTCCTTGATGTCTTAGAGGCTGAGAAGACAGACATGTAAAACATAATTGGAATTTAGTGTGATTAGGCCTGTGATTAAGGTGGGACCCCAGTAAAAATGGCATTGAAAGGAGAGAGTGACCCGTAGTGGTGTGGAAAGATGTCATTGAGGAGGTAATTTTCATGTCAGATCTTGAAAGTGTTCCAGATATCCAGGGAGAGGACGGGAAGTCTGGATATAAAGACAGCGTGAATAAGTGAGGGAGATCTGTGGTGCTTCCAGGAGCTCCTAGTAATTAGGTAGGAGTAGAGTGCAGGTTATATATGGGCAGTGGAGCAAAAGGGATAATGAGGCAAAAGTGGGGACCAGGCTGTAGGGCCTCGTGTGCACTGCAGAGGATTGAGATTTAATTCTGCAGGTGATGGGGAGCTACCCAAAGTTTTAAGCAGGAGAGTGTCTTGATTAGGTTGTCATTTTGGAAAGATGGAGAATTGTTTTGAAAATGATAAACCTAGAGGTGCGATTATCAATTGGGATACTAAACAGCTTAGCTTTCTCTGGGAGACCTGAGCCAGTGCCATTGATGGAGATGTAGGAGAGAAAAAGAGGAATATAGGCGGTAGAGTCAGCGGGACTTAGTAATCAAACGGAGGGAGGGAAGGAGACTTAAGGTTTACTAGCAGGACTCTGGCTCAGCACACATGTTGAATGTTGGTGGCATGACCTAAAATGAGAAATGTGTGTGGAAGAGCAGGTTAGGGGTAAAAGATGAAAAGTTCTTTATGAAAATCGGATATGAGCCTGCTGTGGTGTGCACCTGTAGTCCCAGCTACCTCGGAGACTGAGGCGGGAGCATCATTTGAGCCCAGGAGTTTGAGGTTGTAGTGTGCCATGATCGTGCCTGTGAATAGCCACTGCACTCCAGCCTGGGCAAGATAGTGAGACCCCATCTCTAAATTTAAAAAATTGGTTATGAAGGATCTAGTGAAATAGGGATGCCTGGTAAGTAGTTGGGAAGTGGCCTGAGCTGATCCTAGAATTAGGTACTCCAGAGGAATGGCTCAGACCACTGTGGTAGAATGTGGAGAGTGAAAAGAGATAGCAGGATGTGATCCAGGGGGCAATAGCACATGGGGCTGTACATATTTGGAAGAAATAAAAGAGGAAAACCACAAGACTATACGATTATGGAAGCCAAGGAAAGAGAAACTTTTAAGTTTAGTTGAGGATGATTAGCAGTTTCAAATACTATGGAGAAGATCGGGTATAAATGCTGAAAGATGTCTGGAGGATTTGGCAATTAGGAGGTTGTTGATATCCTTTGAAAAGTCAGTTTCCTGGGAAGTGATGAAAGAGAAAGCCTGATTGTAGTTGATTAAAGAATTAATATTTATTAATACTAAATGGGTGGTGGGTACTCACATATTTGTTTTAAAAATATAATGTTTTAAAACATGCAGAATAATTCTGAGTATTGTTTAGAAATGTATATGTGTTAAGATATAAAGAAATTAGTGGAATAATAATGGATACTTCTGGCTGGGGGAAAAACAATGATTTATTTGGGAGGACAAAAAAGAGTCTTAAACTATATTGGTATAATAATATGCTTTATTTTTTAAGTGAAAGTTGATGAATACATGAATATTTGTCACATTATTTTTGTGACACTTTTTTTTCACAAAAAAGACCCCTTGCTCTGTTGCCCAGGGTGGAGTGCAGTGGCGTCATCATAGCTCACTGCAACGTCAAATTCCTGGGCTCAGGTGATCCTCCCACCTCAGCCTCCTCAGTAGCTGGGACTACAGGCCCGGGCCACTGCACCGCTAATTTTTCTATTTTCAGTAGAGATGAGGTCTCGCTCTTGCTTAGGCTGGCCTCAAACTCCTGAGCTCAAGCCATCCTCCTGCCTCAGCCTGCCAGAGTGCTAGGATTACAGGCGTGAGCTAACCTGGCCCAGCCCCTTCTCTAAACCTTATTCCTGGACCACATGAGGATTCACCTTTTTTTCATAATAGCTTATCTCACGAAGCTGCTGTGAGAATAAGTTGTCTTCTGGTACTGTCATACTTCAAGTCACTTGTGGCATGTTTATATTGCAGCTTGTTTACAAGGTAAAATCAAATGATATATTGGAGAAACTAGCTTTGAGTTCTGTGGACACCAGTGAGCAAACCGAATGGCAAAAACTTGTAGATGAAGCTAAGGAAAATCTACATAAAATCCAGGTATGTTTCCCTGTCACATACTAGAGTATTCGGATTGATGTGTTGATGAATGTTAGGTTGCCTTACTCTGTCTGGCATTTCTGAAACAGGACGATGAATTTGTGGTGAATTACTGTTTGAAGGCTCAGTGGATAACCTATGAAACCACTCAGGAAATGCTCAATTATGCCAAAACCAGGGTAAGTTGGGGTTTTTTTGTTTGTTTTTTTTAAGAGAGAATTTGCTTTAATCATTCATAATCCTACCACTCCAAATACATTTTTTCCTCCAATTCTCTTCTCTATGTGTACCATTAAAAAAAATTTTTCATAGTAGCTTTATTGAGCTAATTCACATCCCATACAATTCACCCATTTAAAGTGTACAGAGGCAGAAGGATTGCTTGAGCCCAGGAGTTTGAGTCCAGCCTGGGCAATATATCGAGACCCTTTGTCTAAAAAAGTAAATAAATAAAATACAGTTCAGTGGTTTTTAGCATATTCACTGAGTTGTGCAACTATCACCACAATCAATTTTAGAACATTTTCATCATCTCAGAAAGAAACCCCATACCCATAAAGTCACTCCCTCTTTCCCCCAGGCAACCATTAATCTACTTCCTGTCTCTGTAGAATTGCCTGTTCTGGACATTTCAAATAAATGGAGTCACATGATATGTGTCTTTTTTTTTTTTTTTT